GTTTTGAAATAGTCCTGTCAATATGCATTTCATTATTTGTTTTCTGTCTGAATTCAAGGCGCTCTCATCTGTGCGCCTCATATTTTCATACTGATTTTTTTTTTTAAACTAGTTTTGAGTAAGCAATTGTCCTGTGAACAATAGATAGCTGGCTGCTGTAACCAGCCCAGAGCGGCAGCATGATGGTGTGGCTTTGTCGTAGGATGGGAGGATGGACTGCATGTCCTCCGCATGCTTTTTCTAGTCCTACGACTCCGATGCAGAAAGGAAGAGGTCATCAGAGCCAGGAACGTACCCACGGAGAAAGTACAGCATTATTGCCTGGGTAGCAAAGCTAAATTTGTTGGAGCCAAATCAATACTGAAATGTAAAGTGCAGGTCACACTGTTGGTAAGCTTGGGGTGACATGAAAGGTAACAATAATTATCTAAAATTTCATTCACTGCCTTTCCTTGAGGAAATCACACTGTTATGTATAAAACTCTATCATCAGTTTTATTCTGGTGGTTCAAAATTTGCATTGAACTATTACAAAGAGTAATATATTTATTGATCATAATTGGGCGCACTTTCACTAAGTTCATTTGACTCTTGCCATAATTTTTATTGTCATTTCAGTGCATTTTTAGGCTAGAATTTCCTTCTCTTTTCAGAAGGCTAATTTTAGATCAGTGTCTCTAGAAGTTTATCTTATTTTAGTCTTATTTTAACATAGTCATAATCTTGATTTTATATGCTAGTAAATAAAGACGGATGAATAGTAGAGATACTAGAGAAAGGTATTTCCCAAGAGAGAGGCCCTTGGTCCTGTTTCCACCAGTGGTCATGCTTTGTTTTCTGCTGTAGGGTTGGATCCCACTAAAGGCTAGGCAACAATGGGATTTTAACATCAGCTGATTGTATAAAAGATAGAATGAAAATCTGATTTTGCAAATCATTCTACTGAATTAATGAGGTGAGAATATTGTGCTTATAATTAGGAATATGTCTCTCTCTTCTCCCACCTGTCTTTTTACCAGGTGTTTTCTTTGGCAGGGATTTCTGGCTAGACAATGATGCTAGAGATGAGAAGCTATAGCTTAGTGCCTATAGGATGACTTTAATGTCTGTAGGGTTAGGTCATGTGGAAGGTTCAGCTGTCTGTAGTAACCTAGTTTCTATGGTGATCTGTTTTCTGCTTTACAGTAGAAAATGTACAGTTTCAGCTGAATAAATTAAAAGTGCCTATTTCATGCTGGCATAGATCACATAATTAGAAACTGTTACGCAGCATTTGCTGCCTGAAGGTAACAGCATGTGTATCTTAAAGGCGGCTGCCTTGCTGCCTTTTTTACATCAGGAAACTCTGCTTTGTGTAGCCTAGAGGAAGCCAGCCTGTCAACCTGTTTTGCTAGATAGTAGTTAGATGCTTTCCTCTTTTGTATTACATTTACTTTGCTTTCTCTTAATTCCCATGATGAGAGGGAAAAAATATCCCATCAGAAATACTGAGGATGGGGAGCTGCTGCTTTCGCTGAGGGGAAGAAGGTCATACAAACTAGGCAAAGTGTGGTAGGCATTTTGTCTTCAGCTGTGTAGCATCTTTGTGTTATACTAAGAAATTTCCCTGCTTTCTGGCAGGGTTTTGAATTTTTTTTTTTTTTTTTTTTTTGTAAAGAGAGTTCTGCTAATAGCTGTGTTAAGGTAAGTTTGGATATATGTGTGTTTGTGAAGTTTCACAGGGAACCCTTTGTTTAAAAACCAAGTGAAAAGGAGAGAAGATACTGCTCCTGAGAACACTATTTTATTCTAATACTGCACCTCTATTGTGATGTCCTGTTTAATTATTTTGGAATTCTTCTGTAATTTTGTAGTTTCTGTAGGTTAGTACTTGGATTAGCACATACACTTGTTAGCACACACCTTAATTTTAACTCAAATGTGGTTTCTTAGCCTGCAAGTTGTGGATACTGCAGTGCTGAGAACAAATAAGTAATCCAAGAGCCCAAACCATGGCTTCTGCTCCTAATTTCCCAGCTGCTCCACTGCCTTTTTGTTGGCCTTCATTGCTGTTATATACAGTGCTCTGTGAATGGCAACAGCCCATGCTGAAGAATTGTTTTGGGGATCTTTCATTTTTCAAATAATTCATCAATATTCTTATCTTTGGAGTGAGTGGGGAAGAGGTTATGTACAGGAGTAATACTGCACTTCTGTACTGAAAACAATAGCAAATATATATGAAACTCATAAAGCTCAAAGCAAGCAAAACAAACCACAACCATGTATTTACTACAAAGAATGAAGTTTCTTGTCTTTAATAAAGTAGATTGTTAGAGCTGGCATGAACATCCAGTGAAGCTGAAGAAAGACCAGGCATGGGAGCATCATGTATTCTGTAGCGGGAGCAATGAAAGTGGATTTTTAATTCTTTACGTCATTATTTTTATCCTTTCACTTGGTAGAGAAAATTGGTTTTACATGTATGGCATAAGCTTTTCAGGAGTTCGGGAGCTGTCTAGACAAAGGCAGCAGCAGTGCTTTAAAGACTGCAGTGCGTTAAAGGTAAAAGCCGCTGGCTTAAGCTGTTGTAAATTACTCACATGCACTGTTCTTGAGAAGCATCCTGGATATGGGAAGCAAACCGCTTTGTGAAATTCAAAATAATTCCAGGCACTGAGCCCCCCTGACAGCCTCCCTCTCCAGGGCCAGGGGCTCTGTGGGTCTTGCTCCACAACCCACTGCCTTTGCTGAACACACTTTCTCATTTCCTGTCCTGAAGGCAATATGAAGTTTGGTCTTTCAAAAAATGCCTAATAGAAACAAGAAGTTCGTCGTTTTAAGTAAAGAGAAAACTGGGTTAGTAAGGGGGGGGGGGAAGCTGCATCATTCTTTGAGGCAGAAGATGCTATACAAAAACAAGTTGTGTAAGATTAGGTGATGAAGTTGTATGACCAAATGCACGTTTTTCTCTGCCATCAAGTGCTGTGCTTTGACAAATACATTACAGTTATTTTGAAATAATTTAGTGGATTGAGAGTGGTTTGCAACATGGCTGCACCTCTAAAGCGAAGCAGCTGTTTTGTTTGCAAAAGGTGATGGGTGTGGGATGATCTCAGTGCTCTCTAGGCATTGCAAGAGCATCAGTTCAGAAGTTTTAATATATTAAAAATGTCATAGCCTTTTCCTAGTGTTACTCAAGCTGTTTTCACATGCATGTATTTGCATGTACATGCAACTGTGTAAGTAACTAGATAGTTTCCATATACTTTCAATTGATTCTTGAGCATGAGATAATCATTCAGTCTGGCTTCACTCATTTAAAAATATTAATAGTCTTTCTGTTTTTGAAAGCAAGTCATATCTTTGTTCTGGGTTACTTGTATGAATAAAGTTTGGGTGAAAATGGTCATTAACTGGAATACTACATTTTTGTTTTCTACTATTTGGAGGCCTTTTCAATCAAACCTTTTTGGATTTTTTCTTTTGGCATTCTGGAGATAATCCATTTTAAACTTGCCCTGTTTACAACTACAAAGGAAAGAGCTTTTAATACTGGAGATAAGGTAACTTTGCCTGAATTAATACAGATGTGCCAGTGTTCTCTTAGGGGAAAAAAAAGCTATATAATTTTATGTTGCAAGTGCATTAGGATCTGCTCAGAAGAGTTTCTCAAATTAATTTTTTTGATAGCCAACTTTTTGATCTTTCTGAAAACACAGTTTTTTTTCTTTGTAGATTTTCAACATTGGAACATTATTCTGCATGGAAAATGCATTTTCTTTCCATGTAGACAATAAAGTTAAGCCTGTGTAGTCTTTTATCAAAAGATAGAACAACTTACCTCAGATGTACTAATTAACTTGACTCTTGCTTAAGGGTTTGGCTGTAGAACATGCATTTAAAAAAAAAAAGTTTTGGTGTCACATATATTGATGCAACAAAAAGTCACTGATCTTTTACTGTTGTTTTTGTATTGCAGTATGCCAGGGTTTGGATCCCTGATCCAGAGGAGGTCTGGAAGTCAGCAGAACTTCTCAAAGATTATAAACCTGGAGATAAAGTCCTCCAGCTTCGACTTGAAGAGGGCAAGGTAGGTCTATGTATTGTTAATAAGCTCATTGTTCTTGCTCTTGACCAGAGTATCTAACACAGGAAGCTGTATTGTCAAAATATATCCGTACTTATGTATGTGCAATTATTCTTGTCCACTGACTTCAAGTAGTATTTTTTTGTGTGACAATTTATACTGATTATGTACAAAAATCCATTTTGCCTGATTTTTAAAAATAAAATAAAACATGTTGCTTTTCTCCAACTGCTTGTTGCGTTCAGTTGCATCATCTTTTTCTACTTATGCCATTAAAGGTATAACCCTGGTTTGATATTCCAGTGAGAAGTGTTGCTAGGACAACAGTGTTGCAGAGAAAGAATTGTGACTTTTAAGTTGAACATAACCATCAGAAGATTGATAAAGATAAAAAGGGGCAAGGATTAAGAGCATTATGGAAATGATGCTGTATACAGTGTAGAGAAATGATGACACGTCTACAGAAAGCTCACAACCTTCTAGTGAAGGCCTGTTCATTTTTTTCATGCCATTTAAATGGTTATTTAATTTTCATATATAATGGTGGTGATCCCTCAGATCTCTTCATGGAAAATAAAGATCTACTGCAGTTGGTAAATTATTTATTTTTAATTTCTTGTCGTCTTACCACTGGCCAGCTTAGATCCTACTATCATGTATAGACCTACATAGCCATGACGTAAATAAAACAGATTATATATATAGGAAAGCCTCTAAATAAAATATTTTACTTGAATGCATTTCAGTCTTTCACTCACATTTCTCATACGGCAAGCTAAGTACAACCTTTACAATGTGACGAAGATTAACGTGTCCCCCCCCGCCATATTCCAGGCTGTGTGGTGTTGCTGCACACTTGAGAATTGCATGTAGCAGAATGGGGGCATTTGCCAATTAAGTCACATTGTGTGGGGACAAGAAAATAGCAGGTAAATAAAGTAATTTTGGACCTAGAGACAGATGCAATTAAAACATCTACATCAGAGATTAATTTATATTTGTAAAAATTGTAAGTAGCCTTTTTTTCAGTTTGTGTTCTTCATGGCGTTCTGCCAACATTCTTGTGTTGTATTACTGTGTATGAATGTGGCTATAGACTGATGGCAATCTGCTTCCTCTGTTCCGCTCAAGAGGAAAATAATACGAAAAACTAGTTAGGTTTATGGTATAACATATTTTGTTTTATTTAATAGAAAGATTTGGCAGCAAAAGAAAGGAGTTTGCTTACGTAATACTTTAAAAAGACGATATCTCTTTATGGTTGCCTGTTGCGTATAGAAAACCCTTTTGGGAAATTTTAAATTAATTTTTTTGAGAAAGAACTGCTCCTCAAATCACCAGATAATTTAAATCTTGCGTTGTGTTTTTGTAACTTGGGCATGTTTTGCTGGGAAGAATGGTGAGAGGGACTGAATGAGGAAACTTAAGCACGAGCTTTTTCAGCATGTGTTTCTATTTGTTTTTCAGGACCTAGAATACTGCCTAGATCCGAAGACCAAGGAACTCCCGCCCTTGCGAAACCCTGACATACTTGTTGGTGAAAATGACCTCACAGCGCTCAGTTATCTCCATGAACCTGCTGTTTTACACAACCTCAAAGTTCGATTTATAGACTCTAAACTAATCTATACCTATTGTGGCAAGTACTGTCTTTTCATACCATAATCTTTACGGAGAATGCTGTAGACAGGAAAACAAAAGTTGATTATTGATATGTGTGCTTTTAACTTAAAATCATTTAATGATAAGGCATGTTGGGTTGTTCTTATGAAAGTCTCTGTATTTCTGGTTATTAAGTGCATCGAGTAGACTTGAAAGTATTAAGGTTTAGAGAAAATTGACTTTGCGTTTTATCCCTCTAGCTTCTCAATGGACTCTGTTTATAAAATGTATATTCAGCAATTTTAGCTTGCCAGTGGGCTTCCTGGCTAGTTGGTGTTCCCCTTAGGCTTGCTTAGATAGGCACAGGTTGGAGGAGGTCTTCACATGGTGCAGATGCAGCAGGCTACCTGTGCTGTTTGGTGGATTTATTGTCTGCCTCTGCATTGAGCTCCTCTATTTCTGTACAGAAGATACTGGTTTATTTTCTTTTTCATGTTTTCCAATCAGTACCACTATAGAAGTGAATTTGTAACAGTGTGTGAGCCAATACTTGTTTGTTCACAATTATGAACAATCTTGGCTTTAAAAGTACCATTGAACTCTCAGTAGGGGTTACCCAAAGTTGTAATTGCCTGTGATATTTTCAGATGGCCAGAATGGGGGAAGTTACTTTAATGATCACTTCATCATAGATTCAAAATTGCAGCCGAGTGGTCTATTTTAAAGAAACATTGTGAGATAGTTTAGGCTCAAAATTTAGATTTCATCATTCTGGGCTTTTTTCTGTATGTGCTTGTGTTTCTTTTAAATCTCAGTGTTTAGTGAAAATACATTGCTAACTTTTACTGTAGCCTTTCAATATAAAAAACTTTCTAAATTTTTCAAATATTCAAATAAGTACTTTGGATATTGTGTTAGTGCATAAGAAACAGTTTAAGTCATTGGTGGATTTTTTACATTTTAAGCTGAGCAAAACAAAACATAATCTGATCATGTGACTGCTAGAAACCATATACTGAAAATTTCCTTCTCATAATTGTCTGATTAAGGCAAAGACACATTCTTCCAGTAGATGTAGTTAAATTATCATTTGCGTATTCATTTTAGCTCAGTTTATGCCAGAAGAAAACATGCCCCATGATTTCTTTTTAATTATGTGTCCTAGTTTCCACTGGGATAGTGTTAATTTTCTTCCTCATAGCTGGCATAGTGCTGTGTTTTGGATTTGGGGTGAAAATAATGTTGATAACATACTGATGTTTTCGGTTGTCACTAGGCAGTCAAGGGCTGTCCAGCTTCTCATGCTGGCCTGCCAGCACGTAGGCTGGGGATGCACAAGAATTTGGGAGGGGACACAGCCAGGACAGCTGGCTGCAGCTGGCTAAAGGGATAATCCATACCATACAATGTCATGCTCGATACATAAAGCTGGGGAAAGAAGAAGGAAGCGGGGGGACGTTTGGAGTGATGGCATTTGTCTTCGCAAGTAACCTTTACGCGTGATGGAGCGTCCTGGAGATGGCTAACACCTGCCTGCCCATGGGAAGTGGTGAATGAATTCCTTGTTTTGCTATGCTTGTGTGTGCGGCTTTTGCTTTACCTGTTAAACCGTCTTTATCTCAACCCATGAATTTTTTCACTTACACTCTTCTGATTCTCTCCGCCATCCCACTGTGGGGGGAGTGAGTGAGCCGCTGTGTGGGGCTTAGTTGCTGGCTGGGGTTAAACCACAACAATATGCAATTTAACTTTGTCTCTAATCAGACTTTTGTAGGGCAGTCCCAGTTCCGGGTATCGCAAGCCAGAGTGTATTGAGCTTTCTTGATGCCACCATATATTAGGCTTGCTGTTTGTAATTTCATTGTATTTTGCACTACTTCACAAACTATAGAGTAGGGAGGTCATGTTGCAGAGTTGCCCCTGACAGATCTCAGCTAATCTCGATGGCAGGTGTCTGAAACAGGAATTTGTGTTTTGCAGTTGAAGGCCTTGTCCTGTCCTGGTCAGGACAAGGAGTACGGCAAGGGTCAGATTTTCCCTCTTCTGGTCACTGTTAGAGCTCCACTCCTGGTGATGGGTATGGAAAGCAAAGGCAACTAGCACATTAAACATCTTCTGATGGGCAGACTGCAGGCATTAATGTTGTACCATCTTTTGCTTACTCTGGCTACTCCTAATCTGTGGATGCTCAGCAGAGTGCATCTGCTCCCAGTCCTGCTCTCAGCAGTGTCCAGACCACAGGGGACTGAATCAGACTTTGCCTCACTTTGCTTGCAGCCAGCCTTCATTCCTGTAGCAGTGGGAGATGATTCATACCCATGTCTCATCCTATCATGCAGTCAGAGGCACACAATAATTTAGGTTGGAACAGACCTCTGGAAGTCTTCAGTGGAGCTCCCTATTTAAAACAGGTCTGACTAGATCAGGTTGCTCAGGGCTTGGACCAGTCAAAGTATCTGAGTATTTGAGTATCTTCAGTGATGGAGATACCACAGCCTCTCTGGGCAACCCCTGCTGAGGTGAGGGTGCATGTTCTGGTCCTGGTACTGGGAAACCACCTCAGTTCCCCCAGTTCAGACACTGTCTCTGTTTCTGTCCCTAGTGCCCCCATGCCAAAGCTCTTCATGGGGGAAACATTTTATGCAACTGGTGTCTCATGGCCTGAGCTTGTAAGGGGTTTTCAGTCTGAATTTTGTGGTCCTGTGCTTACTGATACCACCTACCTCTGCCTGGTTCGTGTTTTGGCTGCTTTACAAATGTGCTCCGTGTTTAGCGTCAATTAAGAGGCTTTCAAAAAGAATGTGCTGTATGCTAGTTTTGTTTTGCTGTGTTTGGGAAAACATGAAAACAGCGTGGCTGGGAAAACATGAAAACAACTAGTGCTGCTTTAGTTGTGGGTTTGGCTGGTTTTATAGTTTCCTATAGGGCTGGAAGGCTTTTAGCTCTTCATGGAATGGGTCTGCCAGAGAGCCTGGGATGGCAGAGCTTGGTCGGCTGTTTTGCTTCCAAACAAGTTTCAAGTGATGATTCTGGGAACTGCGTGTGGGTTTCTTAGAAACACGTGAATCCAGTAGCGTGGGGGTTCCCGATGGTCAAAGTGTACATGAAGGAGGTTTAAACACTAACTGGTGACCTGAGGAATGCAGTGTGCTATGGATTTATTAGCTTGGGATGTAGGCATATGTATGTTACGTTACAAGCTAAGGAAAATAAAGTTGGCCTGTTGTCCTCTAAAAACCTGATCCTTTGGCCATGGCCGTTCACCTTTCAACCTGCTCTATCAGTTCCTGTCCTGAGCTTAAGTTACTTCCCCTCTGCAAAGATTGTTCTCCAGGCAATGAATTGTGATTGCATCCTTAATCTGATTCACACATTAGCCAGGTTAGTTTAAATACCCGGTGAAGGTGGTTTGAGCTAACCCAGCTGATTTAGCCTGAAGGAGATTAAAAACACTAATCCACCAAGAGAATTATGGTAACTTTATTCTCAACCATCAGAACTAGAACTGGGACGGATGGATGTCCATGGCACTTGAAATTAATTCAACCATGCTGTCCTTAGTGTAATATGTCAAATGGATATTAAATTACTTAAAATTTCACTTTGAAGTAATCCAAACTTTTAAACAGAGAACCTCCTGATTTCTTAATTTCAAGTCAGCCTTTCACCAGCAATTCAGAGGTGATTTATAACTTTCTTTTACTGTTGGGAATATGAAATGAAGAATTAATGAAGGAAGTTGAAAACTTACAAAGGAAAATTTGAATGCTTACATGGAAAAACTGCTATGGCTGTGGAGAAAACTCAGTTAATACTGGGAGCTAGTTCAGATGTATAAAGTACTGCCTGCTATGCAGGAGAGCAAGCTTTAAATTAATAAATTATTTATATTAATATCCAGTTTGTGCACAGATGGGTGAATATGTTCAAAGTAAAAAAAATTAGCTAAGAAGAATGGCAAAAAGAGTAGCCAGAGTTCAATTCAGTGTAATTGTAAGAACAAAACCATACGTAAATCTGATCTGGGAAGGCTCATGATATTTTTAAAATGTTTTAGTGGAGATAAAAAGAAGTTTATATATAAATTAATCTGGATTATAGTCCTGTGAAGACAGGGTGATTTAAAAGTTCCATAGAAAGCGTGTAATTCCTAACTCACTTGTTTTGGATATTTCCAGATGGTAGTTGCTTGTTGATTTTACAGAGCGCTACTGAAGTTAAGTGATTTAATATGCTGGAGACTTGTCATGGGGCTGCTTGTTTTGAATTAAAGGGTTTATTTTTGCCAACGTAGACAAAAGGAGAAGGGAATTGTCTGAAGCCTCGCACAGCTTTTTTTTAATGTCTCTTTGATTAGACCAACAAGCCTGAGAGGCTCAGCTTGGTGGTCCAGCCTTACTTAACTTTTTACTGCTTTTTTACAGTTACAAAGGGCAGATGTTAAAAACTGACACCGAAAATATTCCTCAAGTCTGCTAGTTCTGAGGTCTCTTCCTCTCCTTAACGCCTCTCTTATTTTTTTGACTCATTGCTACAGCATTGAATAGAACTTGGCATGAATTGTTATAGAGACTTTTCACTTGAGCTCCTGAGTCATTGCAGTGAGAAGTCATGGCTGATGGAAAAACACTGACTCTTCTTACATGGGCGTGTCTAGCCGTAAACCTTGCCATATATTCAAGGAAAGAGATTGAGGTCTCTCAGATCTCTTAATGAAAGATATTCTGTTGTTTAATGTTTTTGCTATGGTTTGTGCTTGATCTATAAATGCATGACAGGGTTTAAAAATGGGATGGTGCTCCCAGCAGTAGTGCCAGACTGTAGATGCTTTCACTTCTCTCAGCTTTTCCATGGACAATTTCTTAGATAGACATCACAACACTGTAATCTGCATGGCGCAGAGGGCTGGGATCTGCATTGAGGAAGTGTGTGCATGTGAATTTCTGAGCAAATTCAGAAGTGAGTTGAGTGCTATGGAAATGTTTCTGGTGCAGGTTCTTCAGGGATGGTTTGTCCAAGGAGCATGTGTAGCATGCTTGCTGTAGTCACTATGCAGCCATCTGCATTGTCACTTTTAGGCAACAAGATATATATGTAAGAAGAAATTCTATTTTTAAAATGGCCACAGTTAAAATTGGAGTTTCTTTCCTCCCCTCGCCTTATCACCTTGTCAAGGTGAGCAGGAATTGCCATGTCAAGAGAGCACAGTTTGCCTGACATGGCTGGGTCTCATGTGGCAGTGATCAGTGTTTTCACCCCTGCATAGAGCAAATAAATGTTCCCTACCCATTGTAAATGCTGCAGGAGAGAAATGTGTAAGTAATCTTTGTCAAATCATCCCTGTGGGCAGAGCAATCCTCATTTCCCATGAAAAAGAAAATCGTACCAAAAGCATTTGAGATCTCACTTTGTGGCTAGGAAGGATGTACAGAGTAAGACTAGGTTTTCCTGTGCGGGGAGAGTAGAAGGATGGCATGAGTTTAGGGATGCTGTAGTAATGAGTGGTATTAAAAAAGGCAGATATGTGTTTACCTGGGATGGAAAAACTAGAAAATGGAAGGTGTTAGTAGTTATACGCACAGATGTAATAAGATAAGGGTTTTACGGTGCCTTCTAGAGTTGTAATTACTTGGTTTCCTGCCATGACTGTGTACTGCTATGTATCAGCCCTATCAGCCCTGTGTATCAGCCATATGAAATATGTCTACATCTATTTTTTTTTGATCCCTTCGAGCAGGAGGTTGTCCTGTCTGACTGGCAGAGATGCCCTAGAATCCAAATTACACCATGACTCTACTTTGTTGCTTATTACAAAAACTGAAGATGTTATTACTGGGCATAGCATAATGGCTGAAGGGTTAACACACTTCATATATCCAAACTAACAGTCAGTGAGGCCATGTAGTAGTTATAATTCACAAATTACATTATCATTTGTAATTCACAGTAGAACACAGGGAAGTACAATGCACATACATTAGTTTACTGCACCGAGCAGGCTGTATTTCGAGTTGACACACTCTGAATCTTGTTGTTTCACACATGCTAGCTTTAGAAAGTCAGAGAGAAAAAATAAAAAGTTGTCCCTGATGTGTTTCCTAAAGCAAGGTAGAAGTAAACTCTTCTGATACTTTTTATATGCAAAACTGTAGTCATAATAAATATCTGTTGAAGTTAGTAATGTCAGATCCTTATTCTTCTCTAGTTAATATTTTTAGAAAGGTTAGAACACTAGTTGGTGTTAAAGACATTTTTTTGTTTGTTTCATTTTGAAACAACTATTAATAATTTCTTTTGTTTCATTTCCTTTGTAGGTATCGTCTTAGTGGCCATAAATCCTTATGAACAACTGCCTATCTATGGCGAAGATATCATCAATGCGTACAGTGGCCAAAATATGGGGGATATGGATCCACATATCTTTGCAGTGGCTGAAGAAGCATATAAGCAGATGGCCAGGTTTGTAGATGCGAGTCTTGAATTCATTCTTTTTCTAAAAGGAATAAGACTTAAAATTTCTGGCCAGTGGCCTTCCCTTTAATTTATAGCTCATGAAATGTTTAGCAATATCTGTCTTTTATCCAATGTCTTAGTACACAAGTCTAGTTTCACAAGAGGATAAGTTGCCTGAGTCAGGCAAGCATTATGAATGCCATGGAGATCATGGCCACTGACAGGTAACGGGAATAACCACAGATCTCATCAGTATTTAGGTCTAAAATTAGCCTAGTGCTTTATAAGATTCTGTTGTTTTAATTTGATTAGCAAAATGTGGAGATACTTTTTAATCATCGGTGGATTTTTAAAGGGAAAAGTGCCAGATTCTTAACTGTTTCGTATTTATGTGTGATACTAACAACAGAAAAAAATATCACTCAGCTCATGAGTGCTATTACAGACTCCTAGTTGTGTTGGTAAAGTCCCAGCTACATAATCTGCCTGTGGCTGTTGCTGACTAGAATTAAGAGCGAGCAGAGGGATGGTTGCACAGAGTGCCTGAAAACAGTGTCTCTAAGGACACTGCAACAGCTGTGCAGGAAATCCTCATTTCTTTAAACATTGCATGAAAGCGAACTTGTCACCCAAGGAGGACGATTATTAGAAACTTCTTTCCCTTCACCCCAAGAGCCTGCCAATTTGAGGAGCTTTTGAAAAATTTTGTTCCTAGGATAAAAGTCTTTTGGGCTGCTGTGTGGTCTTTGGTTAACAAGATGGTTCCTGGTATCCTCACTGGTTAACTGCAAGCTATTGATACAGTTTTCCTTGTTGACAATACAGTCCATAATCAAATTAATCAAGTAAAACAGTGGCAGATCTCTGGATTAATTGTGATGGCCCTCAAGCCACACTGCAAGGAGGGTGAGACAGGGGGAGAATAGGTTGAGAATGATAAAATGTTAATCTTTGAAATTAGCTACCTGTTCATTTAAGAATCCGTATGAAAGCTAGAATGAACAAAATGCTCCATATGCTGTGAAGTTGGTCAGCTGTGTATGTGAATATGGTGATTTACAATACCCACATGATAGATAATTTCAAAAGAAAACGGTATGGTACAGTGCAACATTTCATGGCTTAGGGTAATTGCAAAATAGCCAGCGTTTCAAAAATACCCTACATCTGCACTGTTGAATGGCAGAAGTATTCACCTTACTTCTTTTTGGCTAAGAAAATAGACATATAATCTGGTACGGGAATATAAAGGCAAAACTGTGTGTTACAACAGTCACATCTGCATTGTGGCTCTTTCAGCCTAGATCACTTTTACAGATCTAGATCACTGTTGTTTTGAACAGACTTGCTAGTCAAGTCCCTCCAAAAGCTTTACAAAATAAGAATTTATTAGCCTTGTTTTATGTCTGAGCCACAGTACAGTGACCTGCAATTGTATGTCAGTGATGGATGTAATCCAGGTTTCCATAATTTTTGTTCTTAATATTAACCAGTGGAAGTAAGAAGTTGGAGGGGGCTCTCTCTCCACTGACTGCCTCTAACCACTGTCTGAAGCGGGCTTACCTCTTAACCTGTGTTGAAATTTCAAATTGCCGGATCGCCTGTATTCTGTGTGCTTGTTAGCTGAAGCCTGTGCAGTGGAGATTTCTATCTGCCACCATTTGAATTCTCTGCTGTCAGAAGGGGGCCAAGATTTTGGCTAGATTTTCTGCTGTGGTTTTTCCTTTTTGTGTTAATTGCCTTCTCTTCAGCTCTCGTCATGCCCTCTAGCAGTTCTGCCGTCCTGAATAACAACAAATAAGATGCGGTAGAAGTTCATGATGAGAAGTTACATAAGCATGGAAATGATCTTAAATAATCCTTTTGCATTAATGAATTAATTCCTTTGTGTGTCTACAGCATGTTATAAAAATGTGTTATTCTTTTATGAATAACTGACAGTCCTTTCATAGGTGCAAAATGAAGTCTGAGTACACAATGAAAATTAGAAAAATTCCTCTACACTGAAGTAACAATTTCATTGTTTATTTAGTTTCCCAATGTTTATTTCCTTTTGTCTCTTTTTTTTTCTTGTTTAAGAACTTTTTCTGTCATTTGGACATACTGGGTTTGCTCATTGAATTTTGTTTTCTAATGCAGTTTGCAATTCCTTAATCAGTTCTCCAACCCTTTAACTTCGGTGATACTTTTTTCACTCTGAACAAATCACCTTTTACTCCTGAATAATGAAGTTAAAGAAAAAATGTGCAGATTTACATTTCTGCAGATGGTTATTTAAAAATGAAAATCAAGTTGTCTGTGACCATTTCATTAATGCTTTAATAATTGCATTGAATATTCATATAGTAGCTACTCATATGGCATTAATCTGCATTTATGCATGTAATTGATGAGATTTATTTTTCTGTGTTTCAAATCTTTCCTAACTCCATGTTTCAATGATCACTGGAATAATTAGTCGTGGTGCTCCTATCCATGAGGCTTCAGTAAGCTCTTCTAAATATTTACTCCTTAGGTCTTCTGGTTAATTTATAATTTAATTATTTCAAATTTGTTCTTGCCAGCTTCATTACCTCATCTGCTGTGGCTGAGAAACTCCTTCCACGTGCATGATTGTAACTAAATGATCTCTGTGGTCTTCTTCAGCTAAAGAAAATGCCCCATGACAGCAATCAAGAAAGCTCGTGATTGAACGCTAAATATTTGCATTATGTCTTCAAAAGAAATACAGTGCAAAAATGTTGGGCACTGGAATGACAGGGATGGAACTTAATCTGGCTTGTGCACAAAACCTGATATTCAGCAACTGCTTGGGGTTAATTGCAGTATAAAGCAGCACATAAAGATGCCTTTGCATGTGAAATTTTCTGCATAGAGAGAGCCCAAAGGTGTGGTACATGTGGCTGTGAAGTGATGTGCCTGTTTGGGCATCCACACCAGTTTCTGGTGGAGGGCTAGTGAGAAGGAATACGGCTCATCTCTACCCATAGCTGATGAGGTAATAAGTGATTACTGTTTGCTCAGTAGCTTCTCATCTTTTTCAGCACTGGAAAATGTGCACAGCTCTTTTAAGACTAATCTCATTCTGGATTATTATTTCTGTTCTTTTTTTTTCTTCTTTTTTCTCCACCCTATCTCCTCTCTCTCCTTCTATTCCCCTTCTCACCTGTATCTTCGTGCTTTTTTTCCTTTTCTGTCTCTACCTCCTACAGCTACCCTGCACGCTGACAGCTTTGTTTCCAGCACCTTTCCTCTGCTGTGCCTAAAATAAGCAATGAACTAGTTTTACAACTGTAGTTAAATTCTGTTAGATTTAGGGTTATGTGTGCCTCATATTTACCAATAACTTTATTGGTTTGGGTTGTATGACCCTCCAGACCACAGGTGTAAAGGATTCCAGAGCAGATCTCTTCCTCTGTCTGAGCAGGAGGAGATCCACCTGCGAGCGTGTCCCAGCGGGAGGTGGATCCCAGGGAGGATTGGTCGGATGGGGACCTGTCTGAGGGGCTCACCCTGCCTCAGGGCTTCCATGCAGAGCGGTTTGTAGTTGCTGTAGTTCTGTAGGAACAGCTGTAACAAGCTGTACTTTTGGAAAGAGCTGGGACCTGCACTCTGAGGTCTCTCTTCTCACAGATAGGCAATGTATTGTTCATGGATAGCTTGCTGCTGTTGAGCAAATGTATACAGGTTCAGGACAGTGTTTAAAGCAGATGAGTGGAAATAATTAAAGGAATTAAATTATTATTGAAGGAAGTTAAAAGGAAGTAAATTATTATTGAAGAACTTAATTTTGTCTCAGAAATAATAAACCACAATGTCAGCATGTGGGTGTTAGCATGTGTTGAACCCTTTGAACTTAACAAAAAGACGCTCGATCCTCACAGTTACCCCTCTGTGGTAACTGTGAAAATTGAGGCAAAGCATCAGTTGGCAAGTATTTGATTTTTTTTAAATTTTTTATTAAAGCATTACATCTTCTGTAGGAGCCATAACCATCAGCAGGTGCAGTTCATTTTCTCTGTAATATTCAGTAGAAACCTCCATTTTTAATTCTATGGTTTGCAATAACCAGGTGTTGATTATACTCTTGAAATTGTTAAGAATTGCATCCATGTATGAGACTTACGATTACCAGTTTCCTAACACTATTCGGAAAAGAAGTTCTAAATCACTCTTGCACAGGATCCCCTGTTCTAAATCACTCTTGCACTCTTGCACAGGATCCCCTGCCTAGTGAGGCTATATCGCAGTAATTAAGATAATGTATTTTTTTATCAACACTTTCTTGGTCTGGTTTGTTCCATTCTACTTATGGTTGATGACAGATACAGCAGAGTTCAGTGCTTTTCAATTTAATGAATTAACTTGGAGATTTCCTTCTGATTAATTAGTAAAGTTGTCTAGCAAAGTGCAAGTTGAAAGTAACATTTGCAAACAATTACATACTGATGAGATCCCTATAAAATTCAATGAATATCAGGATGGAAAGCAACAGTGTTTAAAGTGTCAGTCTCCCAAGTTTTGCTTTTTCTGTTTGGACAAAGTATAATGATTTAGTCTATAATTCTATGATTTATTCAATGTTAGTGTGTATCTTTTTCATTAAATTACCTTTAATAAGTAGACTGCCTCTCGGTTTTGTCAGATTTTCGGTGTGTGTCTGATGGCCCTCAGCTACAGGAAGGTTTTTTTTCTATCACTTTTTGTTCAAAAGGAAGCTTGTTGAGCTGTTGAGTAGGTGTTTTGAAAGCACCTTGATTGACAGTCTCCAGTTATCCCAGGCATCCTAAGATGATGTCCTCTTATTAAAATGCATGTTTGATCAGCTGCTGCTGTGCTTCTGAGTGTCTGATAAATGGATGCTCTATTCTCCCCTGGCAGAAGTTGCGAGGGGATGATTAACAACCCGTCACGGATCTGCATCCGGTTATGAAATGAGAGCCTGCTGTGGTGGGTACTGTACAAACATACAGCGGCCTTCTTTGACTTATGGCTTTGACATACGA